TTGAAAAATCAGAACACAAAAAGGAGAAAGCATGGGTAAAACTGGAAAAAAAAGAAGAATTATAGTACCTTAGTTCAAAGAAAATTGGAAACCATCCTCGGAGCCATATCCGTTGATCCCCTGATACACTCCAAGACTCTTCCCAGGGCGCATCAACAATTCGATCCTGGTTCAATGAGACGTACCTAGCAAATATGAATCTATTTTTGTGAAGTGTGAAAAATATATCTGCATAAAAGTAATAAATTAGGCGAAAGCTCCTAATTAAATAAGTCTCGTAATATAGATTTATAGGCCAAAGAAATGTTTTCCCCCAGAAGATGGGAAAATGTAATAATCATGGTACTTACTCTCCACAGGAGCGAATTAGTCGTATTGCTTCCATGTTCATGTCAGGATGATTCGTATTACAAGCAAACTCAGCTAAGCATTTTAAAGCCTCCTGAACAAGAAAAATGTCTGCAAAACACATAGGATAGACAGCAAATTACCTGAAAGGCGTCTAAAACCGAAGCAAAATCTTCTTTAAACTGATAAAGAACCACTCTAGAGCTGGCTATAAAAGCTGCCTCAACGATGTCTTTTTGAACATCACCTGGAAAATCGTTATGATAAATGATCGTAATTATTGTGGAGAAACAAAAATCAAACCAGCAGCTAGCGTCCAAACAGAAAACAAATTCTGCCAGCCAGATTTTATCCGAGGAGCATGAGCTTCCACTAAATTGGAACAGCAAGCGACAACCAATTCGCGAGTCTGCACAGAACGATTTCTTGCCATTATGACCTAAACAGAAACATTTGATATAAGTTCTGTCCTAAGCTCAAAAACTGTAGATTCGCCTCAAAAGGTCGAAGAAAGTCCTTTTGAAATCGGAAGTTAGGCAGCTCCCCCCTTTCAAGAAACTTTATCGCAAGTTGCCGTAGGGCATCGACAGAGTAATGTGCTACAATTTCGCTGGCATTGCAACCTAAACGCGATAGTTTGAATACACGTAGCTTTTCTGTTGTAGTGAAGGTAAAAAAAAA